TTTTTTTTTTTTTTTACTTTATTCTCTTCTTTCTTCACCCTTTGGTAATCACCCTTTGGATTTTCAGTCACATTCATAGCGCGTTGGAAACGTGTTAAGAGATCTTTTCGAAAAGAAATAAACGATAGTTTTTTTTTTATCGTAAAAGATAAGAAAACAGGAAAATATTTCAAACGATTCTCGACAATACTGCAAACCCAATATTGCAATTGGGTACTGCTGCGTTCCATCAATGATAATCATTTTCAATTAGTTAACGTGCAAAATAAGTTTCGAGAGAATGAGACGAATACAAAATATCTGATGTAGGATAATTGTATTCTCTTCTTATTTAGTATCGCGGCCGTTTCATCGCCTCCCACCGCTCCGTTACATAGCCGCCTACCGCCTCCGTTACATTTTTTCAAATCACACCCATTCTAAAGAAGTTTTCACTTCAAAAATATAACATATATATATATAGATATTGAGATGAAACGTTTGTGTAATGATTATACTGTGAATAATTAGCAAAGCCGCTACAGATCGAAACTGCGAATACTAAAACCGAACATTGAGCTAAAGCTTGGAGAGAGAGAGAGAGAGAGAGATCCTCCTCTGACAGTGACACCGTTGAAACGTGCTTTCCTGATGAACTTGACGCATGAACGATCTCAACTATCACGCACAGGGTTAATCACCAAACTCTCTTGTTTGGATGACCTATTTGGATGCCGAGAGAGAACACCCCCCCACACACACACCGCAAAGTCTAGGATAAGCTATTTGGAATATAAACGTTTCCGATCAATTACTACTGATTCCCTTTCACCCCTCTATCATCCCTACCCTTATCCCATTATTAAAATAGAATCAATTTGGAATAATTAATAAATGTACCTTCCCTTTCTTTTTGCACCCTCTGTGTTATACTTCGTTTAGTAACTAAAATAAAATAAAATGCAAATATGAAGTTTCATTAAATGGTAGCAGACGATTGGTTAGGTACGCATGACAAGAGTATGATAGAAATCTAAAAGGACATTTAACCGGATGCTATCTGTCTGGATGCGTTAGCCTACTCGTAAGTCCTGTCTTAATTAGCTTTCCAGAGAAAGCTGCAGCACGTTGACAGCCGTGTGTGACCATAGCTTAACGGGCCAAATGCCAAACACACTGATCGTTTTCTATTCGAGAAAGTTAATTAGACACGATGACCGTTATATCTCTATTCCTCTTTAATTCTTGGCTCGGAATCACCACTAATCATTTTTCCTCAAGATTAACCAATTAATATTCTAACTCTGACACGTTTCTATCTTCTTACCAATCATTTGCACGCATAAACCAACGACACATATATACTCTCTCTCTACCATCAAATGAAAGAATAATTCATTTGTGTTTATTTTTATTTCAATGTTAAGAAGAACAATCATGAGAAATAAAACGTATTAGGTTGTTACGGAAAATAAGTTTCGTTTTTGAAGACAATTTTTCGTATCCTAACCTAAAACCTAGGGCCTATTCAAGTGGACATAAACAGTTGAATTTGATAAATTTACACCTCACACTGATCTCATGTATTACTATTTGTCGGTTTGCATCAACCAATGCCTTTATTGTGTCAAGAAAAAATGAAATTACTTTTCAAACAACCTAATAAATTTATACAACGCGAGTTGTATTAATTATGAAACCTAATTAATTTACTGTACATAACCTCCTCTATTACATTTTATATATTTTAATCTCGTAAATATGTAAATGTATCTAAGGGAATGATGATCGTAGTAAGTAATAGTTAAAAATACAACATGAATCATACTAGAACGAACACATGTTGGTAATAAGAAAAATCCTTGGAAAAAGTATCCGATTAATCGATAGTTGTTTGTGTTTCGATTCGATAGATGTGTGGTATCGTTTGATTATATCCACCTGTGCATTCCTTTGAGAAAAATAAAAAGATACAAGATGCAGCTGACTTTATATTTCTTGTATATATATATGTGTGTGTATACGCGCGCGCGCGCGTGCGTGCGTGCATGTGTCGATACAACGAGGAGAATCGATAAGCTTGAACTCGAAAATAAATCGAAAGTCGGTGACGTCGCCGAATGGCAGTGCCGTGTGTGTCGTTTCGTTTCGTTTTTCTTCTCAATGGGTAGGAAGACGAAGAGAGAGAGAGAAAAAAAAAAAGAAATAAAAGATGGCAATAAGAAAATGGCCGGGATTCGTTCGGGTCGTTCGTTTACAACTCCTCCTCCTCCTCCTCCTCCACCCCTAAATTTCTTCCCTTCGATTTGTTTAAGAATACCAACTTGAAAATGTTTCTGTTTCTACAAAATATGATCCCCACAACCAGTTACACAAATTAACATTTAATTCTGACAACTTTTTTTATTAGAATACAAATAAATAATAAATAAAAACTAAAGAGAAGGGGTAAATAGTGGTGGGGGTGTTCTTCGAGAGATTACAGTAAAAAAAAATGATAAAAACATAACGAAACACTTAAGTCACGTTGTATATTTCAAAAGAAACTAAAAACCACCCTTCATTCACCCATTGATCGTCTTTCGAAAACTATCCTCTTACAACCACGATTAAATTAGTGGATAATTTTTCACGTAATTATAATTGATCAAAAATTCATGACAACAATTCAATAAATTAATCAAATATATTTGTGTCGGTGAGAGTTTGTTAACGGTTAAGACGTTGGAAAACACCACTTTGAGTTTTTCTCGTCTCTCTCATCAGAAGAAGATGTGTGTGTGTGTGTGTGTGTGTACTTTTATTCTTTAAGTCGAGACAGAAAATTCGTTCTTTCCCAGACAGGGCTGGGAGGGGGAGAGGGGGTGTATATAACTTGAAGAAAGAAAGAACGTGCTCAAGTACGGTCTTCCGTGTGATATTCTTTATCTCATAGTAGAAACGTAAGATGAACCTAGGTATTAATACTACCTAGACAAAACAATTAACAATAAGTAGTTGAAAAATAAAAAAATAAAAATAAAATAAAAATACTTTAACTAAAATCTTCGAATGAAATTTTTGCATTTAAATATATATAATTTATGAGAATTGTTTTAAGGTGTCTCTAGCAACCCATTTTTTCGTGGCACTTGAAAAAAAAACAAAAAAAATCTAATCAAACCACTTCATAAGACATTATAACAACTTTGCAAAATCATTTTCTGTGCAGATTTTGAAATAAATTAAAGAATAATTTATTGTTGTTGAAATAATTTCTATGTTATTTTACAATTTTTAATTTATTCTCCTTTTTTGATGCATCCTCCTCCTCTTTTTTTTATAATTTTAATCTCTATTAATTTTTCTTTAGAATTTTCGTTTGTGATTTTTATTTCTTTTTTTCTGCATTCTCTATTACATCCCCATTAAAACCGTCGTGGTAAAGCCGGTACAATAACAAATCTATAGATGTGGCAGCATCCTCAATGGAGGAATGGACTCCAAATTGAATCTCCCGTTTGAAAAAGTATCTCTTAAATATAATCATTTGTTACTTCCACAGTCCAGGTCTTAGGACATACATCAATTAAAAACAAACTGTCTGTATTCTTTACAAGGTTAGGTTTAGTTTCTCGTCGTTAAATGAATTTAAAACCTGCAATGTGCATACATTTTTTCCGAATTGATGTTTGTCCTTAGTTTTAATGTTCCCAATTACTACCAACGATTGACTCTCAATATATTGGCTCGATATTACCGATTTTGTATCTATTAGCTTGCTAATTATCGATATATTATCATGCTCATCTCTAGTATTTAAAAATGGTTTTGCTTCGAATATTGTTTGCATTCGTCTGATAAAATAGTTTGACCTACATCTATATCTAATGATAGTGTATCCATTGGCATGCTAATTGTTGATATATTATCATGCTCATCTCTAGTATTCGAAAATAGTAATAGATATATTATCATTCTATTTTTTCGTATTTGAATTTGCTTTTGCACTGAACATTGTTTAATTATTTGTAGATCAATGATTCCAGTATTAAAATAATAGGTGAGTCGTTGATCCAATCGAAAAACTGTAATTTCTACGCGAGTGGTAAGGGAAAGAAGAACCCTTGGAACTTTTCGAAAGCTCAACTACTTCTTCTTCTTCTTCTTCTTCTTTTTCTTCAGGGTGTATTTTCAAAGTTAAAGTAAACCAGTCGGAGTTTGGAATATCCTCGGATAATCTCACCGCGAAGAACCTCAGCAGAGTAAAGTGTATAGTAGGGGAACAAGATAGGGAGAGAAAAGGTAGTGGTGGTTGGTGGTAGTGATGGTAGTGGTGAAGGAAGGTCGAGAATCTTTGGAGCAAGAAGCCACTAAAGTCGAATATTTCATCGTCGTTTGAACGAGCACAGACAACCGATTTCCACGAGAACGCATCCTTGGAATGTTTCTTACCAGATTTATAACCAGCCCTTTACGATCCTATTTTGATTTTTTTGTTTGTTTTTTTTTTTTTTTCTTATTTTATATCATCATAATTTACTAAACTTTCAACTTAACTTTGTGAAATATTCCTTTACTACTATTGTTTATTTCAACAATCAATTTTTTTTTAATTAATATAAAAATATTTAATTGAATAATTTCTATCTAACGTGAATTTTGTTATCATTCATATATATCTCTCTGTTGAAACAGTTTGTAATATTTGTCTTGTATTAAAAACCTAATCTAAATTTAGTTTGATAAAAAAAAAAAAAAAGAGAAAAAAGCGGGAGACAGCTGACACACTGGAAACCATAAGAATTTTATCAAGGGTTCCTAGAAGAAATTGTTCACATTCAAAATGACTTACCTCACGTAGTTCTTTAATGTTCGAGCCATTTTTTCCGATGACACAACCAGCCTGACTTTGATGAACCAGCATTCGAATATCGATCTCATTATTCCCCACACGAGGACCATTCTAAAGAAAAAAAAAACAAATAACATAATTATTTTGTTTATTTAATAAATAATAATTAATTAATATATATATAAAAATACTAACCTCTTCTAGGTTAGGTACAACCTCGTTGAGCACAGTTAGGACGGTAGCCAAATCTGAGCTTATGGTCAGCACACTAAAATCAAAACAATCCAAAACAATCAGTTATTTTCATATTACAAATAATTAATTCCTCATTTTTTCCTTTTATATTTATATATTTTTTATTTCGTTTCCCTTAAATTAAAATTCGTAACTCGACTCATTTCGAGAGTCCCTTTTTTATTAACATTTCCCAAACATTTATTTGATCGTTCAATTATTTTATTATGGAGGGTAGAGGTAAGGAGTAACATCTTTTATGGAAGAAAATGTGAAAAAGTGTCCAGCGTTTTCTATAAATAATTAGGGGTGCCCCGTCACACGTTGCTGTGGCTCACGATCAGTCCGATACACACGTTTTTTAATCATTGCGATTATAAATTGAGATATAAACTATCCTATCTTTCAAGTGAGATGAAACTGCACACAGTGTGCAAAATTTGATTAAAATCGGTTTAGTAGTTTAGGAGTCCATTGCGGACAAACAACGTCACACGTATGAATGTAGCGATTGTAAACGAATTGAAGTATGCTGAGTTATGTAATAATGTAATAAATATAACCTTAAAGAATTATTATGTGATTTTTTATCATTTAATTTGATGAAAAAAGTATGCGAATAACGAAACAGTTATGGGTCAAATTTGTGCTGTGAAATTTGTGTTCCATGTTTATTTCTCAATCCTACTCTAATAATATTTTTGCACTTCCTTTAAAATTTACCCTTAAGCTACTGTGGCGCCACCCTAATTGAATGCATTTCGACGGACACTTTTCATATACACAGATGTTACTCCTTACCTCTACCTCTCATATATTTTATATAATTCTCTGGAAATAGAAAAGAAAAGAATTACGAACAAACAAAAAAAAAACGAAAGAAAGAAAAAAGAAAATACAAAACAAAATATGATGGAAAAAGTGTTTAAAAAAAAATTGCAATAAATAATTACAACAACAACAACAAAAAATCGTTGTTCCTGTCGTATTCTCGCGTCGATAAATATTTGATCTATTCAAATTCATCTCGAATAAGAAAAAAACTGAAATAAAAAAAGAAAAAAATAATAGAAAAAAGATAGAAAAAGACAGGAGAAAAACTTAGAAGAAGAAAAAGGAACTGAAGATTATTATTAATCAAAAATGTAATAATTACCAACAACAACAACAACAAAAATACACGAATTATTTAAGAAAAAAAAAAAAAAATTAAAAAAGACAAACTGTGCAAGAAAGAGGTGAAGCTGAAGTTGTAAAACCTCGTAGCTGCAAAACCCTGTTTTTAAAAATATTTTTACAAAGTTTTCGAATTATTTGGTGCTAATGGTTGGTTAAAATTTGACGTTTTAAATTATTCTTGTTGACATGTTAGAAGCATAATTATTATTATTATTATTATTATTATAAATATTATTGACTTCCTTCTACAAAAGGATTAGACTTTGGTTTTGATTTTCGTAAGAACGAAACGATGAGAATAATTGCAGAATGATGATCGATTGATCTTTGCCATTTTTATCGTTCCATTAAAAATGCACCACATGCATAATTGCATTTAAATACCAACGTTGCAATATAATCATTAAATTTAATTAATTAACTTAAAATTATTATTAATCATATGAACGTTGAATATATCGTGTTAGAAGACAATATATTAAACTCGAAGATCGTGATAAGAGTACAACTACAACACATATATATATCATATGTGTACACATATGTATGTATGTATGTATGTATGTATACACACATGTATGTATACGTATAAATATCATATTAATTACATGATTATTGTACAATTAAATTGGGTCATATTATTCATTTATTCTATGAGCACCTTTTTTCCTGGGAAGATTAAAAAAAGATCCGCTGGGAGGGTGGCAGCACCAGTTGGGGGTGGGAGGGAGGTAGTGGAGGGTACATATGTTTTGAATTATCTATTGACCAACAACGTTAAACAACGTACGTCTTATTATTATTACAATAAATAAATATTGTGATGAAAAATAGTTGTGTTAGTTGGTACAAGCAGAATGATGTAAAATTCACATATGTATCCCCCCTCCCTACTGGTGCTGCAACCCTCCTAGCGAATCTTTTTTTAATCTTCCCAGGAAAAAGGCTCATTCAATTTTAAACTTAGTTGTTTTTTTTTTCTTTTTTCTCTATTAAAAGATTAATATTAATTATTATTATTATTATCATCATAATGATGATGATGACGACTTTGTTCTTCCACTTGGTAATTTTTTTTTATGTCGTATATATATTTATATATATATATAGGGTGGTGTGTGTGTGTTCGTGCTCATAAACGCCAATGTTGTATTATTGGTGCCATATGTGAACATAAACAACAACACTTTATTTTCATTACCCAACAACAACCGATCATTCTTTTTATTTTTCTACAGGGATGAGAGAGAGAGAGAGAGAGAGAGAGAGAGAGAGAGATAGAGAGAAGGAAAATTTGCGGATTCTTCTCAAAGGATCGTAAGCCCTAAAAAAAAAATGTAATTATTTACGATTTAAAAACATAATTGCGTTAAAATTATTATCACGATTCGCGAGAGAGAGAAAGAGAGAGAGAGAGATAAACACAACAGTCAGAGAAACAACAACGTTGATTGGAATTTTGTTCGTCGAATAATTGTCAARTAAAAAAAGAAAAATAAATAAATAAAATAACAAATGAATAATTTTATCGAAGTAAACAAAAAAACAAAAAAAAACGGTTTCTAAGTAGGTTTTTATGGTCCCCCGTTGGGTATAAAACGTACGTCACGGCTTTGGAGTGTCCTATTTGTTGGGAAAAAGAAAAAACTATAAAAATAATTTGGTTTTTTTTTTTTTAAATTAATCTCACACATTACCAATGATGTAATTATAATATAAATTTGTTGAAAAAGAAAAGAAAAAAAAAAAAAATGTTGATTTGAATCAATTTTTGATATTACTCCATCATCAGTAATGTGTCGTTTGTTTCTCTGTGTATGTATATGTGTGTGTGTGTACATATGTGTGCGATTAAGCTAACAATTTCTTTTTAAACAAATTAACAAATCATTTTTAATATTACTTTTTTTTTAAATAAAATGTTTTTTTTTATTTTGATTTATCAAAAAAAAAAAGAAAAAAAAACTCTGATCGTGAGCTTAATTTTTCTGATACTTATGCACACACATATACGCACAAACAAACATACACTATACTCATACATATTTATAATATGAATAAAAAAGTTTAGATGAACGTAGAGGAAAATTTGAGTATTTTTTTTCAGGTGAAATAATGTGCCAATAAAATGGTGTGTGTGTGGGTGTGTGTGAGTGTGAGTGCGTGTGTGTTTGATTTTAGCCTGATCTTTGCAACGAATAAGAGAAGAAGAAAAAACGTAGAACTTTGCACACTAAAATGCCGTTAGTAGGCCAAATCCTAAAGCGGATAAAAAAGAGAAGGAAGCTCGTTAAATGATTCACGTACGATGGTGAAAGAAAGACAGGTAGAAAGAAAGAGAAAGAAAGATAGAAAGATAGAAAGAAAGAAAGAAAGAAAGAAAGTAAGAGAAAGATGCCAAGTAGTTTCTGTTGGTAATAGAAAAAACGTTTTTTGCTTTTATGTCGAAAAAAAAAAGCAGAAAAGGAAATATCCGGGACTCGTTTCTTTTGCAAAAAAATAAAAAAAAATAAAAAAATAAAAAGATAAAAAGAGAGAGAGAGAGAGAGAGAGAGAGAGAGAAAAGTGTGGAAAAACGGACGAATGTTGAGCAAGTTTCGTACTCATGGATGCTAAAGGTCGTGGTCTCTCTTTCTCTTGTTCTCTCGTTCTCTCTCTCTCTCTCTCTCTTTTTGCAAGCCATGGGGCGTATCCTATCGTTGGTGCTTTTCAAAGCTTTTCAAAAGCATCGAGACGACCACACGTCCATCATTTTGTGCACGTTGTCCGTTCGTTCGTTCGTTCGTACGTTCGTTCTCTTCACCATGGTCCTATGTTTGATAAAAAAAGAAAATAGAAAAAAAAAAAAAAGTAGACACAGATTGGAAGATAAAATTTCTTGCTTGTTTTATCGATAAATTCATTAAAAAAAAAAAAAAAAGTATTCGAAGAAGAAGAAGAAGAAGAAGAAAGAAAAAATCAAATTTACGTAACGCGTTTTGATGTAATTACGTTGTCTCGTTGATTTTTATTACCTTATTTATATTATTATAGTAATATAACCGAAAGAAAAAGATTTGTAGGTGAAACGACGATGACCTACGAAGAAGAAGAAGAAGAAGAAGAAGAAGAAGAGGAAGAAGAAGAAGAAGAAGAAGAAGAAGATGACAATAAACAACGACGACGAAGAAATAGAACAGAATTTTTCGTAAATATATACACGATGATCTATAATATTAGCTCGAGTCATAAATAACTTTCGTAAAATCTATTTTGTCGTATTTACCTATTATAAGTAATCGAAACTAACGAATTTTCGATATCACTGTATAGATGAAAATTCATTTTTAGTCCTTCTGTCAACTTTTTTATGCAGTCAATGATTACATTCAACCGTTTTTTCTTAAACCACTGAAATGGGATAATAGAAAAGTGCATATTCAAACATGTAATGCTTTAAGAATTGAAACAAGGCAATGGCACTAAAGTGGCAACTGAAAAAATATACAGCTTATACAGGGCAGGACTTGATAACTGATAAGACAGTCAGAAATTGGTTAGTCAAATTTCATTCTGGAGAGATACGATTCTTAAAAGATGAACCCGAGTGTGCAGGGATGTATTTTCGACTTTGATGAACCCTTTTAAAGGTAATATTGGAAGCAAAATCCAATAGATACGTTGAACAATTGCAAAGAGTGCAAAACAAAAAAAAGAAACAAAAAAAAACTCCATGAAAGGTGTCTTTGCACTTATCATCAGTCGTAGAAACGCCATTGTTTGTGTCTCATAAGAAAAAAACCAAAAAAAAAAAAAAAAACGGGAAGTTGTTTATGACTCGATCTAATAATTTGAGAATATTAGTTAAGTTAAAGTTTGGCATTAATAAAAATTTCGGGTCATTTTGAATTACATTCTTCATAGATTTTCGTTAATCCTTCTCCTCTCGAATCCTAAAAAAAATGGGACTCGTGTGTAATATGTGTCAGACAGAGAAAACGAGAAAGAGTAAGAGATAGAAAGAGATAGAGAGAATAAAAAAAATAGTGAAACGAGATCTCATGATAGGTGAAAAAGAGAGAAAGAAAAAAAAAAACCATATTTGTTTGTGTACAAGTGTTAATGCGAGAACGAATAAATATATACAGAAAGAAATAGGAAGAATAAATCAAGAATAATATGTGACAATGAAATAAATAAATGAAATAAATAAATAGAAATAAACAATAATTATTTGACAGACAGGACGGACGGACGGACGGACAGACGGACAGACGGACAGACAGATAGACAGACAAACAGAAAGTAAAAGTATTTTAACACTTTAATGGTAGCTTCACACACAACATGTGGTCTGATAAACCTGAATAACTTTTTATATAAATTATATATAATTATTAATTATTAATTATAAATTATATATATATATATAAATTTATTGTTGTTTAATGTTAATTTTTTTCGTGAATTATTCAAAAATATTAGCAAACCCCCCTGGGGCAACGTTTGACTACGTTAGACCGTAAAACAGACCGACTGACCATTAAAGTGTTAAATATTAGGAAAGTAGTAGTAGTAGTAGTAGTAGTAGTAGTAGTAGTAGTAAATAGTAGTGTGAGGTATCGTTTAACAAAACAAAGACAAATAATAAAATAATAAAATAATAAAATAATAAAATAGCGTGTAGTAATAGAATAAAAATGGGAATTATTCAGAGATAAGGTTGTGTACCCTTATTCTGTTAACAAATAATGTTTGTTCGTTCCCAATATACATCAAAAATAAAATACTTTCTTTTTTTTATTATTATTATTATTTGTGGATGTGTATGTATAAACGTAAAAAAGAGAGAGAGAGAGAGAAAGGGAGAAAGAAAAAAAAGAGAAAGAGAGAGAGAGAGAGAGAGAGAGAGAGAGAGAGATCATTTTTAGTACTCGAATAGAATTGGATAAAGAGAGATAGAAAGAGAGAAAGAGAGAAAGAGAGAAAGAGAAAGAAAAAAATAAGACATTAAGAAGTGGTGTTGGTTATTACCGTTCGGGTCCGGGGCAATCGGGTACAATGATCGAGGCTTTGTACTGCAATGGTGGTTGTTGGTTGGTTGGTGGTTGTTGTCGATTGTAGGATCCATCGTTTTCCGTCGTTCCGGGCAGAGGGCCAGGGCAGGGCCAGGGCAGGGCAACGTCATGGCAACACGCCAAAGGGGCACATTTGGGTTGCGTCATTGGGCAGGGCCAGGGCATAAACCATCAACCAAATTAGATCATTCACGAATCTCTCAAAACTATGCGAATTCTATAGGTTTTTTTTTTATTTTATATTTTATTAAAACCTTTATTTTGTTAATTCTTTTTTTAATATTACTATTATTATTATTATTTCTTTCTTATTTTATGTACTTTTATTATTGTTGTTTTTTTGTTCTTCTCGTTTAAATTTATTTGATTGTTTTTATCGTAGTTTTAAGGCCCACCCTAAGATGCAAAAAGACCCCACCCCCCAACCCAACCCCTCAAGCTCTCAATAATCCTTTGATTATACATTTAAAGTGTCTCTGGGTTTCTATATGACATGTGATATCTAATCGGGACAGTGTAATACTACTACTATTACATGTTCACATTTAAATCAAGTGTATCGTCGTCTTAGAACACGTTTCTAAGCTTCACCCCCCCCCTCATGCCAAACATCTTCTCTTAGCTTCTCTTCTTTGTTCTTTGTCTTCTCTGATCGATCATCATCGCGTCGAAGAGTTTCCAATATGTACGATTCCAATATTATTTGTGTATTGTATTCTACACCTATAAGGGTGTGTGTGTGTGTGTGTATGTGTAATATGCAGTAGCTTGAAAAATGTTTAGAAACTCCTCGATGCGATGAAACGCGGATTTATCGGAATTCGAACGCTTAAACTTAGTTTCTTCGATTTTGTTCTCTCGATGGTCATGACTCTTAAATAACACTTACTAATCGGATTTTTTGATTGGGGGTTTTTATTTCATCCTAAGAAGAAATAAAACTAGAGTCGTATTTTTATTTTAAAAATGTTTAAATAATATTTTTCTGACCTTTGGATTTCTTATACGCTTTTTTTTTAGTTTTGTGGTACTAGGTATTTAATCCTTTATAGGTAGTTATTATATACTAGTATAATATATACTAACTACATATAATTTAGTTAGTATATATTATACTAGGTATTAATTCCTTTTTTTACAAAACGTGTGAAATACTAAGACAAAATTTAAAAATAATATTTATAATATACAAATGAAATATATTATATATCAATATTATATTAATATTATACTAGTATATTGTTTCTTACTAATTTCAAAACGTGTGAAATACTAAGACAAAATTAAAAAATAATATTTAAAATATACAAATGAAATATATTATATATTAACATTATATTAATATTATATATTTTCTTAGTAGATTCAAAACGTGTGAAATACTAAGACAAAATTAAAAAATAATATTTAAAATATACAAATGAAATATATTATATATTAATATTAATATTAATATTATATTAAACCTTTTTCTCTTTTATCTTTGTTTTATGTACAAGAAAAAAAATGTGAAATAATTTGTTCACGTACTCTCGAATAAAAAATGGACGTATGTATAATCTCACGTAGATATATAAGTCACGCGTGTTTTATTGGCCTTGGTAACGCAAATTGGCGACAGTATCGAACGATTATCGCACAACTATGGAATGTGTCATACACAGAGACACACACTTATATATATATATATAAGTAAGTAAAAATGTATTTGTACTAGTCGAGTAATAGGTGATACACGTTACTTAATATCGTGCATAAGAAAATAACGCACATTTAATCGGTGCCTTGTACTTGTACCTCGGGATTTTTTTATACTTTTATTACGAGAAACCGTTTCGTTTGAGAGAACACGAGAGGGGGGGAGGGGAGGGTGGTGACGGCGGTGGATATAACACGCAGCCTAGACGATGATTTTTTTTTTTTTTTTTTTTTAATTTTTTTTTCTTTCTTTGCTTAGACGAGCTCTGCTGTTACTGCTGCTGCTGTTGCTGCTGCTTCTTACTCTCGTCGTTCGCTTCGTTATTTCTACCAGAGATTTTTTTCTTATTTTTTTTTTTTATTCCTTTTCTTTTTTTTTTTTATTATTTTTCTCTCCTTTCTTATTTCCTATTTTCTTGTCATTAGTTTCCTTTTTATTTTTTTCTTCCTTTTTTTTATTCTTTTTTCTTTTTTTTTTAGTTAGAATTGTTAGAACGCTTCGTTTTATCGTAATTTACATTATATCAATTCCCACGATTTTATCAAGGATCTTTTCTATCGTATCTCGATCTAACTTTATTATTATTATGATTTTTTAGATTTTGATTTAGGTCGGTGCAATACGCATTACGAAAGATGACTTACATTTAAATAATGCATTAGACAAGATAGACCAAAAAAAAAAAAAAAGAAAATGATACGAGTTATGCATATCTTTAGAAAGTATTATTCTGAGTTTGTTTTCTAATTTTACTTTTTTTTTTCTCAGAATCAACGATACACGAAGATCGAGATTCGATTTATCCCTGAACGCAAAACTAAAACTAATCAAATAAAATTAAATAAAACCTGGGGTGACAAATAATAATAAAATGACTGTGGAATGATATTAAAGAAAAATACAATAAATAAAAAGAAATAATAAATTATTAAATGTAAAATGTACGGAGGGAAGAAGGAGGGGGAAAAGGGGGGAGAATGTAAAGGGCATATATATATAAAAAAAAAAAAATTAAAACAAATGAAAATAAGGTTTAAAAACGTATGTCGTTGAAAATCCGAGATGTCTCTCTCACCTGATTGCGAAGTTTTGTAATGTTTTGTCCACCCTTGCCAATAATAGATCCGGCAACCTGTAACATTAAAATTGCGTCGTGATGACGCATTTCAAAAATTTATTAATTAAATGAAGATTATAATTATTTAGTTTAAGTGTCGAAATTTATCATTTAACTTTCAATAATTCACGTCTTTAAGTCAACGAATTACCTAATACCACTGCCATCTGTTAAAATCTTATCGAACTAACATAGATAATCATGACTCTTTGATAATAAACAAATAATATTGCGATTATAAATTGAAATATAAACTAATCCTATCTTTTAAATTGGATGAAACTGCACAGAGTGTGCAAAATTTTATTCAAATCGGTTCAATAATTTAGGAGTTCATTGCGAACAAACAACGTCACACGTAATTTATATATATATATAAATTAATAATTTATTCTAAGTAACATTGTATAGTATAATTAATTTATAGGGTTTCCATTTTTTTTCCTCTATCTATCATTTAAAAAACTTTTCGAAGATCGAATCTGTATTTGATTATACAATTAATTTACATATATACAACATACAACACATATTTATCGCATCTTAAAAATACGACCTATTCTAACCGACCGACAGACCGACCGACCGACCGACCGAGTTTCGCTTTCACCTCGAGAGACCTCACCTTCTTCTCCCTCTCTTTTTCTCTTCTTATATTCTTCTCACCTCTTTCTTTGCACCTGTTCAATAATATATCAAGAAACAACTAACAACACACGACACATTTCGCCTTGATACTCAATTTCTATGTTTTTTTTTTTTTTATTTTGTTTTGTTCGTCATCTTCTTCTTCTTCTTCTTCTATTTTATTTTTCTTTTTTCGTGAAATATTCGTCAGAAAAAGTTTATGAAAATATTTCAAAATATTATTGTGTAATTTATTTTAGAAAAAATTTGCTCGCAGAATTCAAAGTTCAAATGAAATATTCTTATTTGTAAATTTTAATCTAGTTGATGATTTTCTTTTTTTTGAGTCACCATGTATATAACTTATTAATAAACATTGAATCACAAATGTTTCGAATGAATTATAACATTGGTTATCTTATTTGGTGTTAATTTCATGGCGAATCATGTCGAACAACAGAAATACTGTGTCAAGGTAGAGAAAATAATACGTTCTAGTTGTAACCCTTGTTACAACAAGTGTTAAACAACAACAACGTGAATGGTCAAACTAAAATGAAAGAAAATCAAGAAAGAAAAAAAAAAAAATCAGGTGTAAAAGTGTGTGTGAGAAAAAAAGAAAAAAGAAGAAAGAAACTAGGCCATCCATCCATTCGTTGATTTCATTCGTTCATTACGTTCGTATAATAATTACGCTTGGTTGTACCCAATGAGTTAACTTTAAAAAAAAAACAACAACAAAATTGCATCGACCCTGACAACGGGCTCAGTTATTATGGACAGGCCCAATAAACGTAATCAGTTGCGCACGACTGCACGACTGCACGATAGACCGATAGATCTGATAGATCTAATAGATCTATAGACGTGCATCTAAATACAAATGCAAATAATTATGCTTGTTGTCTTCATTTGCATTCAAATTATTATTTTTTTTTTTTAATCACKATCACATAAAATTTGTTTATTAATAAAATTGACTCAATGTTCATTATATCTACTAATTCTAAACTTATATTATTAGAAACACCATACTTTGTAATAGAATTTATTATATAATTATAGATTGTTCACAAATATGTAATATATAATATATATTACAATATTTGTTCTACGATATATATATTATAAGTTATATATATATACTATCCTATCTTTCAAGTTGAATGAAACTGCACACAGTGTGCAAAATTTTATTTAAATCGGTTCACTAGTTTAGGAGTCCACTGCGAACAAACAACGTGACACACGTAATTTATATATATAATATTTGTTCTAGGAATATTTTTCATAGTGGAAAAAAATATACAATCTAAAGAAAAATAGGTTGAATCGTATAAGAGAGCAATACACAATTTTCATAACTATACTTGTGCAATACTCGTATAAATAGCAGTAGATAAAAAAGTTAGAAGGAAATAATAATAATCAAGATGATCTTTCTCTCTCTCTCTCTCTTTTTCTCTTAACGAAAGAAAATACGAAGTGTATCGCGTTTGTGTTCGTGTTCAAGTGCGATAAAAGTATCACGTAAAATGTACTTTCGTGTTTCAATGTGTGTTAGAGTTGAAAGATAAAGACTCGATGATAAGATTTTGCTCTTTCAAAAGTACCAAGAAAGAAACCAAAAGAAAGAAAGAAAGAAAGAAAGAGAAGAAGAGAACAACTTCAAGCCAAATCAACTTTTTCAATCTTTATTATCGTAACCAAACAGAACTGCATAAGGTAGTAATGCAACGGCAATGCAACACAATAAGGAAGCTACGCAAGTGGCGTAATCGGTGTATCCGTTTTAAACGTTTCGTATACACGAGATATCTCTTTCTTTCTTTCTTTCTTTCTTCCTTTTATTCTACAACTTCCGTTAAATCATCGAGAAATTTTTTTGTTAACTTCAAAAGAACCAGAGAAAGACACCGGAAGTGTATATAACGGTTCGTCGAGCTCTCCTTACAACGACAATGACCGGAAGTATAGCGAATTGTGAGATCCTATAACGCGTGTTGTATATACCTATATATAATATACTATAGCGCCACCATTTTGTTTTAATTATATATATATTAAATAATAAATAATAAAGATTTGATTAAAGTAATATATTTATTTGTATATAAAAAGAAATGATTATGGCGTCGTTAAATAACGTTAATACGATATACTACTACGTGATACAATACAAGTACCACCACCACCCACGTGCATAAACAGAGACGCCATAATCAACGATTATTATGCATTTATCTAAGCTATCGATTTATGTACGAGTCTATAAAACGCATGGATGATTGGTATTGATGCCATGGAAAGGATCAGAAGAGTTAATGGATACGAATGAAAAATATTACACCCTATATATCTTTCTGTTTCTTTTTTCATTTAACTACTACGTGGGAAAGATAGAACTCGCGTGCTTCGATAAGTTCGTCGTTCCTGTGTGGTTAGATCAGTGAATTTACTATTTTACTATTACGCGTTTACTCTCTCTCTCTCTCTCTCTCTCTCTCTCTCTCTCTCTCTCTCTCTCTCTCTCTCTCTTCAAACGTGTTTCATTTAACCAACGCAGAACGTGTGAAAGCAAAAACATATTTTTTTCTTTTTTATTTGATTTAAGAAAACTCTCTTCCGAGTATTTATTGAAATCTTTACTTGATTTCTAATCGTCAATTATATTTTTTTTTAAATTTATTTATTAAACTTAACCTATAAACTCTAACCTCTCTCTCGATCTTCTTAGTCCGTCGTAGATCTATCAATTTGATTTCTCGAATAAATCTTTCCTTTCGTTAATCGTGAAAATAAAAAAAATAAAAAAATGAAATTCAAAATACGACATTTTCTTTATTTCCGCCATATTTGAGCTGTTTCGTTGGTAATTACGATCTATTTTATCGACAGAGTCAATGATAAACGTTTTGTTTCCTCTACTCATTTAATTATTAAATATATAAATTTGTTTTTCTATAGAAAGTAAATTATTTCTCAATAAGAATGAATGTTCGTTTTTTAAATAAATATTATAAAAGAAGAAATATTATTATTGTTCTTACTTTGCTGGGAATTAGAAGACGTAGTTCATCATCACCTTGCCGGTAGCGTTTATGAGGACTATTTGGACCTCCAGAACCTGCAATGGCGCATGCATCCGCTTCTCTCTTCATTATTTCTACAATCACAAAGAAAAACAACAGAATATATTAATCTTTTGTAATAATAATAATAATAACTATATAAATAACTAATATAAAATGAAGAGAAGAACTGAGGAGAAAAAAAGCTTAATAACTAGGATCAAATTTGAATGCTTTGAGGTTAGACGACAAGGTATAATAAAAAAAAAAAATATAATAATAATAAAATAATTATGTATTCGAAGAAGACGTTGTTCCCCCCACCCCTTTTTAAATTTATTCTTCATGCTCGTTAAACTCGGCTCCGAGACACAAACCGTACAAATAAACCCTGAGGAAGAACATGATCCAGCGGACATTACAAAATTGGCCCACGCTGCTAATTATGGAAGAGGCACGTGTTGCGGTAATAGATTTTACCGTTACACTAACTGATCTTTCTCTCTCTCTCTCTTTCAAAAACACTATGAGAATGATACCATCAATTATCCTAAACTTTGAAAATCATTTCATTATGAATCATCTAAATTGAAACGAGTTGTTTATCAAAAACTTTATTAGATAAACGTGAAATGCATTAGATAAATTAAAATATTATTATTATAAAGCATAATAACCATAGCAAATTATGAGATCCTATAACGTAAACGTGTGTGTATCTATATATATATATATAACAATGAGTCAGATACACACGTCTCTTTAAGTCAACGATTTACCTTGTACCTCCGTCGAAACAAATAATTCGCGATTATAAATTGAGAGATAAACTATCCTATCTTTCAAGTTGGATGAAACTGTACAGAGTGTGCAAAATTTGATTAAAATCGGTTCAGTAGTTTAGGAATCCATTGCGGACAAAAAACGTAACAAGTAATTTATATATATTAAGATATACTATAGCTCCACCATTTTTTTAATCATATATATATATATATATATATCAATCACTAGTATCAAAATATTTTAATTTGGATTATCGAGAAATATTTGTTCATTATTTTTCTATAATTTAATAATTAAATATAATAAATAATAACGATTGTATTAAAAGTTATATATTTATTTGTGTATAAAAAAAAAAAAATGATAATGGCGTCATTAAATACGTTAAACGAAATACTACTACGTGATACAACACAAGTACCACCACCCACGTCATTCGATAAATTAGAATATTACAAATAAAATATAACAAATGTATATAATAAATTACAAGAAGCATCAAAAGTAATAATAATAATAATAATAATAATCGTATTAAATTGAGGAAGAGTAAGTAATGCAAATTAGATTTTGCAAAAGATAAATAAACGCACTACTGACCTAAACCTAATAAAGTAAAGAGGAGTATTATGCGCGATAATATTCAATCAATCGAATCCATCGAACGATTATGGTTGTTTAGAAAACGATCGACGTGTGCGCCTGCCTACAACACCGTGGAATGCGATGCCCGTCATCTTGTTTTCCCCACTCTACTTGGAACACCACCATACACTCCATCTCTCTCGAGTGAAAGGAAAGACCCATCACTCGTTAGAAGGTTTGAAGAAGGAGGAGGAGGAGGAGGTGAAGGGAAAAGAGAGGAATACACGTACGAGACGACCGAATACCAACAGCGATCGTCCGTGCAAGTATAAAACGCGATAAATACGCGTTTAGCATAAAAATTCGTCTATGCTGCTGTATATATTTATACAGCACCGTACAAAAGTATTTAACCAACGTATTAAATGTTCTTCTTTTTTTTTTTTTTTTTACATAAAATCAATCAGGAAACTGTGAGAAGCAACGTTGAAATTTTAGATTGATGAAATTTGTTGAAAAAAAAAAAAATAATAATAAATAAATAAAGAATTATATTTGAATCTCGTGTTCGAAGGAGATCAATGGTAATACTTTTGTTCGATACTGTATTTTATATAAGTAGAAGAAGTATTAGTTGCAATGGAAGTTCTCGAATGGTGGTGGTATGTGCTAAACGAATATCATCTGTGTATTATACGCGAAAGCTGACGTGAAAATCCGAGTTAGAAAATCCAGCAGCGTGCATATGCGTACAAAGCTTATGAGCGTGTTTAGCTATTGCAATAATATTTCAAGGTGGGACTAAAAACACGGCAGTGGGTCCCCCCACCGTGAATTACGGTGTATCAAAAAGGTGAGACGACACACTTTTAAAATCCGAGGCACATCCCGTGCGCCTCAAAGAGTTAAACAAATGTTGACAAAAGAATGAAATTGAATTGTAACCATAATCGCATATTTTATTTCTAAATTATAGTTCAAAGTTTGACGTTTGAAACTTATGCAAAAGTGTCAGAGTTAGTCGTGAGAGACAATATTTTAGTTGAAACAAATAGAAAAGAAAAAGAATTTGTAAAGTAATTTTTTAACGCGAGAAAAAAGAGAGAGAGAGAGAGAGAGAGAGAAAGATCATTTGAAATTGTTCTCCAACACGTTAAAGTAAAGTTGTAAAACATGTCTCGATTGGTTTTAAGATTAAACCCCCAAGACACGCATATACAAAGTTTTAAAATAATGACCACACTTAAGGTTCTTTTCTTTTTTTCTTTTTTTTTTTTTTTATGTTAATTTGAATCACGAGATATATTAGAAGGAAAAATGGTGTGCAATTGTGTTGCTCGAAAATCAACACGTTTTCAAGATATCACTCTATTAGTAATAATTTCTTTAAACAAGTACTGAAAATAGACGTCATTGTTAAATTATTAATAATTTAGTTATACATGGTTATTATTGTAAATGATATAAATTAAAAATCCTGCACACTGTAACAAAAAAAAAAACAAAAAAACTGAATGCAAATTAAGTTATAAATGATTTGACAAAGTAAGCACAAATATAAAATTAAAATATATATTGAATTTGTTATAAAAAAAAATTAAAAGAGAAATTTAGGATAAATTTAATTGATTGAGATTAGCCAGGTGTTGGAGAATGTTGCTGAATTTTTTAAATAAAAAATAAATGAAATATTTGTCGATAGAGGGTAGTGCTTTTTACGATGGAACGTTGGTGTCATTGAATTTTGTTCTCTTTGTCCTAGCACCACCACCCTTTATATTGCAGGGGCCAGTTGCAACGCGAATACGCTTTTGCGAGAGAACAACGAAACGCACTTTATTCCAAAAGAAATAGAACAAGAAAACACCACCCAACCCATCCACCCACCCATCAACCCACCCCCCCACCAATACATACACCTGAAACCAAAATGGGATATAATCAACAACCGAATGATTGTTCAATTAATTTTTGTTTTCTTTCTTTCTAGATTATACAAATATTAATTTCACAATTTTATAAAAAACAAACAATTGAAATATAAACAAATAAAATGGATTTTTATTTTTTGATTTTAATTAAAATCCCATTATTATTATTTTTTTTTTTTTAATAATACTCTCTCCTACATTAAATGTTTACGACTGTGTATGGAATTTAATTCTTTTTTTCTTTTTTTTGTTGGTCTTCCCTTTTATCGTCCATCTGGGATGCAATTTCACATAAAACAAGTCAAATTAGAGAACGTAAAGGGAGATATAGAAAAAGAGAGAGAGAGAGAGAGAGAGCACGGAAGTTGGAAGTTTATCGGATAAACCGTAGAAAAACGGGGGGGAAAAAAAAACAGGAAAAAAAAACGCGTTAATCGTTCTATCTCTCGTTTCTATCTTCCGTCCCATTTCAAATGGGAGGAGGAGGAGGAGGAGGAGGGAACAAAAAGGATAGAGAAAAATAAATGAAATAAAACTAACACACCGACCAAGTAGTTGACTTCATTTTTTTTTTCTTTTTATTTCGTTCATTTCACTAAAGGATGGAAGAAAAGAGAATAAGAAAATTTATATTCTTTTTCCTTTAAGAAAAAAAAAAAGAGGAGTTAAAATTCAATTTGAATAAACGTTCTAAAAGCCAGAAAATAAACAAGAGAGAGAGAGAGAGAGAGAGAGAGAGATTCACGTATTAGAAAATATTTTTTATATTCTAGGAAAATAAAAAAAATAAAAAAAATAAAAAGTCATTTAAAAACCTCGAACATATTTTACATAATTGAAATATGTTGATGTAATTTATGGGATGTTTTTTTTTTTTCAGTAAGCTACAAAATCACGTAGAACAAAATGTACGGAGATTTGTATAAGAATAAAAAAAAAAAAATTGTAATATAAAAATGTAAACGAATAAGAGGAGAAGAAGTTGCGGATTTGTAAATGAAAAGAGAGATTTTTTTTTTTATTTTTCTTTGATGAAGATTTAAAGTTGTTTTCAGGTAGTGGCAAGGCAGTGTGTAGTACACAACATATATTTAGTTCCCTTTTGCGTTTATATCGAAATCCATTTTCTCTCGGGTGCTTACTCGCACACACATAAAAGTGTTCGTTCAAGAGACCAGGAAAAAAAGAAAAAAACAAGAGTAGGAAGAAGATAAAATAAAAAAAAATAAAATAAAAAAAAGCATTAACCGAATTTAATTTAAAATAGACGAAGAAAAGAAAAAGATAAAGATAAAGATAAAGAAAAGGGACAAAGTGAATAATCGTTGACTTTCCAAATTCTAATTTTACAATTTTTTCCCGTGAGAAATAAAATGATAAAGAGAAAAACGTAAAAACTGGGAGAAGGAAACATTAAACGAATTTAATCCTAATATTTATATAAATTACGTCACGTCACGTTGTTTGTCCGTAATGGATTCCTAAACTACTAAACCGATTTCAATCAAATGTCGTACACTTTGTGCATTTTCATCCAACTTGAAAGATAGGATAGTGAAATAACAAAACAGTTATGGGTACAAATTTGTCTTGTGAAATTTGTATTCCTTGTTTATTTCTCAATCGTACTCTAATAATATTTTGGCGGTTCCTTTAAAATTTACCCTTAAGCTACTGTGGCGCCACCCTAATTGAATGCATTTTATCACGGACACTTTTCCTATACAGAAATTTTACTCCTTACCTCTACCCTCCATAATTAGTAATTATACTAATGTAATTATAACACCGGT